CAGAACGATAACTTGCCGAAATCGCGTTAGATCGGCCCGAGGAGCTGGCAAACAACAAAGAATACAACACAGCAACAGGGTTAGTAGATTTTATTCACAAAATATAAGAATAATTGGCTTTTCAAGCAAAGCCGTTGCATTCCGATCCCATACAAACCTTTATAAATCCAAACCGTTGTAACACAACACCTCCATATACTGCAAGGCGAGAGTCATGTTTCGCGTGGTCAAATTCCTTCGTTATGTAATAGTACATGCCATATGTCACGTTAGCCTAAATGTTCGCATAAAAAGGAAAAAAAAAAGATAACATTGAGAGCTTGGGCCGCCCGTGGTGGGACTTGGTGAATTCCTCGATCGTGTCAAGGCAACATATTTCAAACTTCATCCCTATGATGTATACTGGGATCCTGATGTAACTGAGGACAGGATTAAAACGGAATTTGTTGGTTATGATCCTACGCCATTCGTGATCAAAAAACGAACGGACACTGCTTCGGTCTTTTGAACGAGATCAAAGGAAAGAAGATCAACAAGGACTCGTTTAAGCTCCGCGAGAGAAAAGCACTTGCACAAGTGAAGTATTGCCTTCGACCAGTGTTCGGTCAGCCGTATGACGTAAATTACTACGCTGAGGATTGGATGATGGGACCGAATTTGTTTTGCTGGCAGGAAATCTGCTATCAGGGATAAGCTGTTTATAACGGATTGGGCCTCTATCACAAACCTTACAACGCATCGGATGTGGAGCTGATTGAAACGAAACTGAAGACTCACAAAGTAGGCATTTTGCAATACATTGAAAATATGAAGATGGGAGTGCTAAAAGGAATTACTCGCAGTGTGGAGGAATGTGAAGCTGGAATTAACACAATCAAAAGGCAGTACTTGAATATTTCCTTGTACAACTCAACAGGTAAGGCAATGTTGCGTAATTGTTGTTTTTGCACCGTGTAAACAATCTGCGTTAATTTTCCGCTACGGTTATCTATCGCTGACTCAAACAACGAAACATTTGATATTTTCGACTGGAAATGCAAGGTCGCGGCTGGGTGTCGGTTAAAAAGATCATGTCGAGTCCTGTAGCAGTGAATCAGACTAACTAAGAAATTTAGGGATTGGGGCGTTTGATTCGTTTAATTTCCGCGGCCAGCTTCTGATTAGATCTAAATTGATTGACGAGTATTGACTGTTAGACAATACATGACCATTGTTTCATATAATTTGGAGCTCGTCTTGCAGAACACGTGAACTGTTCTTAGCAAAAGAAGCCAGGAAAATCAGAAAAGCTGCCTGACAAATTCCCTGATCACCAATCGTACGTCCACTGATATGTTGTTGTCCCGTTCCCGTATAGTCCTCGCTATAGTCACGCGATGAAACGTCGGTCACGTAAAATGGAAATCACGAGAATTCAAGCAGCAAGAACCAGGGCTGTTTTCGTGCATGGAGGCCAGGTCTTCACGGCTGCTTCTTGTCTGTAAAACTTTCTTCTTAGGGCAATTCGTTTTATTTTTGGTTGCGTGACAACGTCTTACAGTTAAACCCTAAGAGCACGCATTTTTTTTCTTGATTGTCTGGTGATTTTCTGGGTTCAGTTACAATGATAAAATGACAAACACGTCATCGTTTTTTCCAGTATAATGTTGATCTGTGCAAATGCTGTTCTGTATTTTGTTTAATTACAAAGCTCGAAGCAAGTGAATGCGTCTGCCGATTCAAAGACTTATGTATTTGGCAGTGGCTGAGTATAAATATTTGAAGGGAAACCCTGAACCAGCATGTATTGGCCGCCCCCGTTTTCCAAATAGCGACATTGATCGCATTCTATAGAAGATTGATTCCGTTATTGCAGGTGTCTTAC